CGAGTGAAACCTGGAAAGCTCGCGATATCAGGATGGTCTCACCAGGCTAGCAGCACACATCCACTGGCAAAACAGCTAATCATTGGAATTAATTTAGTGTGGGTAGTTTCCAGACAGCCTAAGTGATCTGCTTACATCAGTCAATAAAATAGGAGAACATAGTTTTAACTCACCGTCTCCTGATGACTTCTTCAGTAAATCTGAAGAGAGGGGGGGCCCGCAGCTCACTCCTGCTGGGTGGAAGCCTCCTCACAGCGAAGTCTTGAGTCTTTTCAACTAGGCCAATGCACCACTTTGATGGAGGCTCAAATGGTAGAATCAAAAATCCAGACGTCTTCGGCCGAATATCTCATTTGCCCACAGGACGGGGGAAAAGCGTCTATTTTGACACATTTGAAAGCACATGCTGTCTTAAGTAGACCATTACAGCGCTTCGCATCAAAACAGACAATCTCATCTTTTCCCAACTGCCCTTCCATTTCAAGCTTCTTTTTAGAGTCCCAATATCGCACTATGTAGATGCACGTGCACGACGGGATGTTCTGTCGCAATCTTACTGGAATGCATCAAGGCCAGAGTTTGCTCTGACACTTGAACAAAATGTTTAAACAGATGTTCTCTGTTTACGCCAAAATCTCTTAGCTTATAGTTTGAATGTGTACCAATCCACAATTAGGAACCTTGTTTTTGCCAAGATTCATACGTGCCCTCCAGCATGCACTGTTTTTCTGTGTGCTTGGGTTCAAACATTGGTGGTTTTTGCTAAGTAAGTAGGAGGCCTCGAATAAGGCTATATGAAGGAGTACAATTGCTTCTGGGGTACAATACCATGGGGTATCATGCTAATACGCCATGGTTATTAGCATGTTAATGCTTTAAATGAAAACACTGCAAAGGATCAAAATCTATATAAGTCATTGTGAGTCACTTGCCAATGGAACAAGACAATTTACATTTAAAATAAGAAAGGAAAATATTGCATTGTCTTATTTCGAGTGCATATTATTGAATTATCTTATTTTAAGAGTAAAAATACTCATTCGATTGGGAAACTATATAATTTACCTACTCAAATGAAGGGTAAATACACTTAATTTAAGATTTTTTTTCTTATTTCTAGATTGTTTTTCCAGTGTAGAGATGGAATATCAGAGTGGTTTAATAATAGCTGTTCTACCTTGTGGAAACATTCAGATTATTTTTAACTGACCAAAGATTTCCTAATCAGAAGAACCCCAGCATATACAAAGAGCCAAAGTCATTATTTTAAAATGGTCTATCTTTTCGGCTTTTTGTCATTCATATGTTATTTTCAACAATTACAGTTTGCATTGTTGTTTAAATAGCTTCTTTTTACATTTCTTTTAAATATTTTGATAATATTAGCGTGTAATAATATTTCTAGTGGGTCAATGTTAAATTTGCCTGGTTCTGCTAGAGGTTCTTCCTGTTAAAAAGGGGCTTTTCCTCTCCACTGTCGCAACAAGCATGCTTAGTGTGAGGGATTGCCTTCAAGTCGATGCAATCAACTGGTTTTCCTTAGATAGAAATCTTTGAATCAATCTGACTGGATGAACTGGTGAACTGGAAAGTGCCTTGAGATGACATGTGTTGTGAATTAGCGCTATAGAAATAAACTGAATTGAAACTGAAATCATTTTTTGTCAGTTAGAAATGTT